CATGCGCGCCGCTCGGGCCCCGCTCCAGGGAGAAACACGGGGGCCGAAGATGGAGTTGCACCTGGGCTGTGGGGCGGGCGGGGGGCGGGGGACCACGGGCCGGCGGAGGAGGCGTCCACATTGAGTGCTGTTGGATGCCTCTCACCCAACCGGGCGGGGCGCTCTCATGCTTCCACCCTGGTCCAGAAGAGAGGGAGACAGCGAGACAGGCAGAGACACACGGGGGAAAGACACAGGGCAGGGGCAAAAGAGCACCCCAGGTGGCGGCCAGCGCGATTATTGGTTGCCATTCGCGGCTGGTGGGAAAGAGCCCCCTACCCCTTGAGGTCGCGAGCGTTGGCAGTGGCCTTGTCCGGGCGATCCAGGGGGGGGGAGGAGGGGGGGTCGTGCGCCCGGAGCGGGATGCATGTATTTGGGGGCGGGCAGGGGAGAAACGAAGCTCCAGAGGGTCTAGATCCTGAGCAAAGCAGGGGTGAGGCCCCCGGGCTGGCCCATGCCGCCTTTCTACGTGGGGGGCGGTGGCTGGGATTGCGGCTGCGGGTGCTGCGGGTGCTGCCCGGCGACCGGGGAGAAGTGGTGGTGGGACTGAAGGAGGGGAGCAGTGTGAAAAGCCGCCCCGGATGGGTAGTGGTGTTGATATGCGGGAGGTGGTGCGGTGCCAGGGCCAGCGCCGCCAGGCGCCGCCACGCCTCTGGCCGAGCCCATCGTCGAGTCGGGGCGCGTGCCAGCGGGTGCAATGGCTGCAGCCAGCCCTTGTGGCGATTGCTGGCTCGTCCCCCGGGGCAAGTAGTACTGCGGCTGAGGATACTGTTGGTGCTGGTGCTGCTGGTGCTGCTGGTGCTGCTGGTGCTGTTGTTGGTGGGGGTGGGGGGGATATTGCTGTAGTTGCTCTTGGTGCTGCTGTTGCTGCTGCTGCGAGTGGTGGTGATGCTGCTGCTGCGGGAGGTGGTGGTGCTGCGGCTGTTGTTGGTAGTGCTGATGATGCTGCGGCTGATAGTGCGGATGTTGTTGCTGATGCTGCTGCTGATACTGCGAGTGTTGCTGCTGCTGCTGCTGCTGCTGCTGCTGCTGCTGCTGTTGATGGTGTTGCTGCTGCTGCTGCTGTTGTTGTTGCTGCTGCTGCTGCTGCTGTTGTTGTTGCTGCTGCTGCTGCTGCTGCTGTTGTTGCTGCTGCTGTTGTTGTTGCTGCTGCTGCTGCTGCTGCTGCTGCTGATGGTATTGCTGCTGCTGCTGCTGCTGCTGTTGGTACTGCTGCTGCGAATGCTGGTGTTGTTGAGATAGATGATGCTCCTGTGTGTGGATGACCTGATGGGCCTGTTGAGCCTTCTGGCTCTGCACAGACTGCTGATAGTGATGCTGAGAAATTTGATGGTCCTGCAAGTGCTGAGTAGCCTGATGCTGTGAATGCCGCGAGTGCTGGCCGGCATGTTGTAACCCCGACGACGACAGAGTCGCCTCCAGATCCGGCGACCCGACGCCCAGAGTCGGGGAGACACGTGCAGAGGAGCCCCGCTGCGGGACTGCCAGCTGCGCCGCAAGGCCCGGGATGCCGGCATCCTGCCCCGACTGCAAGGAAGCCGCCTCACCACCTGGGGGGGGTGATGTGGGCCGGGCTTTGGCCTGGCCTTGGGCCAGCTCGGCACGCCGAGATCCCGATCTAGACTGCTGCCCAGACCGGGGACCATCGGGCCCGGGTGCAGGGAAAGGCCCGCCCCCTGACCCGATGCTGCTCGGTGCGGAAGTGGCTCGGTCGCTGGCGCCCAAGGGCGGGCTCCTACCCAGAGGGCTCAGAGTCGGTGACGCCTTGAGACGTGCATACAGGACGGCTGGCTGGGTGAAGTTCAGGTGCAAAAAAGCCACCATCGGGTTGACCACGGGGTCCAGGGTCCTCCAAGAGGAGTATCCTGCCAGCATTGTCTGGGCACCGGAGGTCACCTGGGTCACCGCGGGAACCGAAGCGGGAGAGAGAGAGAGAGAGAGAGGGAGGGAGAGAGGGAGAACGAAAGGGTGAGGAGCGGGGAAAAAAGGGCGCGAGGAGGGAAAGGCACAACTGTGATCCATGCGAAGGCACCTCATCGAGGTTGATGTTCAGTGAGCTGAACCACCGAGCCACACGGTGCGCCAGAGCAGGGTCACTGTCATCACCGGGCTGGCCGCCATCGGGCAGATCAGCGAGACTGTTTTCGGAGAAGCCACGAGGCAGGAAGGCACATGTGGCCAGGTAGATGGCTGCGAGGGACACCAAGAAGGGGGGAACTCGCATTGGGGCATCCGTGCGATACGCGTCATTGATGAGGGACCTGGCCACGGGGGGGGGGGGGGGGGGGGGGGGGGGGGGGGGGGGGGGGGGGGGGGGGGGGGGGGGGGGGGGGGGGGCGGCATCGAAGGGAGTGCTGTTAGCCCATCCAGCAGAGGAGGGAACAAAGGCCGGACGAGAGACGGCGGCACCACACACTGTGGGGCAGTGGCCGGGCGGCCGGCGCACGGGAGAGACGTACCACACATTCTGCAACAGGCGCTTCATATCCAGATCAGACAGATATCTGGTACACGAAGAGGCGGACCACATGTGAGGGCGAGGGAGGGAGAGAAGGAGACAAGGAAAGAATGCAGGGGAAGATGCCAGGACACCAGGAAGTCACATAAGCACGCACTGGACTGCCGGGCGGTAGGGATGGAAGACGACAAGGCGACCAGACAGGGCCCCCACCAGGCGGGTTTCCGCCTCGAGAATGGCCGCCTCCTGGTGGGGAAAGCCCTTGAGGATGGTTTGCGCGGCTGGGCAAGCCGATTTGTGTGCGGGGCATCAGGTACGGGCCATTTGAGGAGGAGAGCCGAGGGCGGGGGCAGTCAGGATGTCAGAGGACAGGTGCGAGATTGCCAGTGTATGTGCATTCTGTGTGCATGCTGACAAACACACACACACACACACACACACACACACACACACACACACATACCAACAACTTTGGCCGCGGTAGCAATGGTCCGAGCCCCGGCAATGCCACTTG